TTATGCAAGGTGTGGGAATGTTCAGTTTGCAGGGATATTAGTTCTTCATTTATTTATTTATTTTGTCATTCATTCATTCATTCATTCATTCATTCATTCATTCATTCATTCATTCATTCATTCATTCATTCATTCATTCATTCATTCATTCATTCATTCATTCATTCATTCATTCATTCAATCATTCATTCATTAGGACAAACTTCATTGTGATTTAAAAATTGTGTGAAGCGGTTTACGTTGACTGAAGCAACAAATTACTTTTGTAGTTGTTGTTGTTGTTATAACATGGCTTTACCGCCATGGAGTAGCAGCTTTACGCTTGGATGTGGGCATAAAGATCGCGGGTTCAAATCCACATCGGGTCAACTGTTTTTTGTTTTTGGTTGCTTCCTTTGTGCAACTGACCTTGGCACTCAATACGCACAAGGTTGTGGACAATAGCACCTGAGACAATCAATCATGTCCTCCAAGACTGTCCCAAATACAACATATCAAGGCCAAATTTTTAGGCAAGAGAAACGTCGGTGCGAGTCAAACTTTACGGGTCACTGAGCAAAAAACAGAAGACATTGAAGTTCATACTAGAGACAAAATTGCAGATATAGATAATTTATTTCAAGCGAACGAAAGAAGAAGAAGAAGAAGAAGAAGAATATATTCATTTATTTCCTCCCGATAAAGTAGTTTTATGCTTACCTTGGCTTTTTAATAGATTCGTTGTGCTGTCTGCTGAGTTTCCAGTCACAGTTTGTGTTGTATTAACTAGTCCCTCGATAAAGACTTTGGTCGAAACTTTTAGTTGTGCGTGAGTGTGACTTTTCCTTTACCTCCGTTGAGCTTTCTAGTGAATTTTATTTTTAAATTTCAATATTAAACATTTCTAACAAAATAATCACAAATACCTGGTTGTGGCTTGACTGAAAACGATACAACCGACATCGGTGGAATGTTAGCTCTGAAGACAGCTTCCGCTGGTGGAGCTGTCCGCCTTTCTGGAATTGAAGTCACTCTTTCTGGAACTGGCACCATCTGCGTAAGCACATATAGTAGTTGAGTAGGTGCCAATGAACTGGCCGGGTGAAGGCAGCATTTCAGAAGATGAAAGTGGCCATTTGTAATAAATCACTCTCATTAAACATCAGAACACTGGTACTGAAATGTTCTGTCGAGTCTGTTAAATGGCAGTGAATCGTGGAATGTGAGCATAAACAAACTAGGACAAATTTGGAAGCAACTTAGATGGGGTTCCTGAGACGAATGTCGTGAATACCTTCGACTGCAAGAACAACTAACAATGATTGACTGAAAAATGGCTAATGAAAGTAGAACATTATATACAACAATGAGAAGGAGACCAAACAGTTCTTTGGTCATGTTATGAAAAAAGAAGCACTGGAATATATCGTGACGACTGGAAAGATCACTGGTAGAAGAGGCAGAGGCAGACCAATAGAAATAATGTTGGATGGCTGATGACGGGGGCATGGAGGAATAACATCAGTGGAATTGGTCCAGAATACCAGGGAGCTAGATCTGTGGGGATGCGTGAACGCCTATGCCGGCTGGCAAGGCACTTGATGACGATGAGGTACAAGAGGATGAACCTTGACTCCCAGGTCGACCAGGCCCTAAATGGGTACCAGGTAAAGTCCCGGGAAGTAAAGGCGGCCTTAGTGATATCGACCCTATCCCCCATCGAGGGTCTCTAAAGATATGTCTAGCCCTATTTTCCCGATGTGCCACTGGCGTGTAAGTCAGTTTCATTCAAGACGTCTTCATATTATTATCTGTCCAGGATATTCTCATCATTCGTCTATAAAATCACATCTCCTCGGCTTCCAAATAAGTTTTTACTAATTTACTGTCCATGATTCACATGCGTATATCAATATAGGATTTATATAGCTTTTGAGAATTCTATTTTTCGTCTCAGTTGACAAAGAAAGATTGGACCAAATATTTTTTTTTAAATTCTACCCCAATTTTCCGTTAGACATTTAACTGTCCTTCATTCTCCAAGTGGACCATCGGAGGCAGAGCATTGATCAGACTGTTGCGCTACCTGTTGTTTCCAATACGTCAGTGTTGGCGATCTTGTCTCGCCACTTAATAAGAAGGATTCTTCTTAGGCATCACAAGTGAAAGCTATTTAAGCGAGTCTCCTGGTGCGAATAAGTTGACGAAGTTTCACTGCCGCAAAGAAGAGTGCGCAGAACACAAACTTGCTATGAGAAATCACAAACAACAACAACAACAACAACAACAACAACAAATGCTGGGGTAGGTTCTGCAATATCCTGTAGAGGATAAACCTACCTGTACGGCCACATTTTTTCCATCTCCGTCGACAATGGTCACTCGTTCTGCATTAACTGGCAATCGAACAGGTACATTGATAGGCCATGACAGTGGATTGTAGAGAGCAGTCAAAAACTGTTGGACAGGGATGGCAATGTATTATTTTAAACAAATGCACGTCTGCATTTACTATAGCTTATTCACTAATCTGTCTGTCTGTCTTTGGATCGATCGATCCGTCTGTCTGCCTGTGTGTCTATCGGTCTGTCCATCTGTCTCTCTGCCTGCTATGTGCCTATCAGTTGTCATTTTATGTCTATATATCTGCCTTCGTCTGCTCGTGTGTCCATGGTTTCATTACTTTGTCTGTCTGTCTTTCAGTCTGTATTCCCTACAATTCAAGTTAACCCCAAGAGAGCCACTTTGTTCACACTCTTAAGTGAACAATAATCATCGGCTCTTTAAGTGAGACAGTGGTAAACAAGAATAAAAAAAAAAAAACAACATCAAAATACGGTGTGTGTACGTTACTGACCACATTACCCACAGAGTGCTGATGGTCTGTAAAAATATGGGACGCTCTGCCCAAATGCCCGATGCGCCGAAAGGCGTGAAAAGGGAACTTTACTTTACTTTTACTACGTTACAGGAGAGACATCACACCAAAATCCTCAGTATTTGTAATGTAATGCCTCTTGTAGTGGCCTACTTGTGCAACAAACATTAGGGATGAGAAATTATCATGACGGCAAAATGGAAATGATCAGAATAAAATCATTGCACAGGCAGCGAAATGGTCATATCAAGAAGGAAATAATTGCATGAACAGGAAAGTGGACATGTTAAGAAGGAAATCATTGCATAAAATGCTAAGTGAAAATGTCAAGAAAAAAAATCATTGCACGGAGAGCAAAGTGAACGTGTTAGAAAGAAAGTAAATCTTATACGAGCAGCAAAGTGGACATGTTAAGAAGGAAATCATTGCACGAACAACAAAGTGGACATGTTAGGAAAAAAATCATTGCACGGACAGCAAATTGGACATGTCAAAAAAATTTATTGCACAGTCAACTAAGTGGACATATTAGTGAGGAAATCATTGCACGAATAGCAAAGAAGACAGTTCATGAAGGAAATCATTGCATGGACAGAAAAAAAGACATTTTAAGAAGGAAATCATTGCACAGACAATAATGTAGACATGTCGATAGGGAAATCATTGCATGGACCAATAAGTCAACAGTAAAATGGACACTGCACAGATAACCAAGTGGACATGTCAAAAAGGTAAACATTGCAGAGGCAGCGAAATGGACATGTCAATAAGGAAGTTATTAGGCAGACAGAAAGTTAACATTGCAAGAAAGAAAGCATTGCATGGGTAAAAACATATAATATACAGTAACGTAGGTGACCGGAAAGAAGTCATAGCACAGACGAAAATGTAGCCACTACAGGAAGGACGTTATTGCACGATATACAAAGACGGGGATTAAAAAAAAAAAAAAACAAGACATCATAGCACGGACATGAAGACACATGAAAAGAAATGCGTACTTGTTCGGGCAGAAAATAGTTATCACAGAATTACATCATTGCACGGATAGTAAAATTAATATGACATGTAAGAGGGAATAGTAATGCAGATAATATTGTGGCAGAAAATAAACTAGAAACTGTAAAAACACGGACCCTCTTACAAGAAGCAACTTACAAAACGGGACTAGTTATCAAACTAGATAAGCCAGCTTACATGATAATATCAAGAAAGGGAAAGGATATAAAATCTGGCCACATGTAAGTCGATAATATAAACATAAAACTAACGAAACTTTGTACTTGGGTGCAAACTTTACTTGCTTCAACATGCTGAGAGAAGAAAAACAATCTAGAATGCAATGTGGAAAAAAAAGTACACTGTGTCCTTCAACATCTGCTGAAGTCAAAGTCTCTGTCTCGCAAACACCAAGATTAAAATAAATAAAACGTTGATAAGACCATTCGTTTTATATGGCTCTGAAACTTGGAGCACAATTTAAAGAAATAAAGGCCTTATTACAGGTCTTAGACGAATCTTTGGACTTATCGAAGATCCAAACAGCGGGGAATGGAGAGTGAGAAACAGCAACGACATCCAAAATATGTTTTAATCATCATTGATCATTCACATCATAAGAGCCAATAGGTTAAAATGGCTGGGGCATATTGAGAGAATTTCAGATGACAGAGAGGTTAAAACTGTAAACACAAGGAATCTAAATGTTTGTTGACCACGAGAAAGACAAAAAAGACGATGCAGAGAAAATGTTTGGAGAGACCTGCAAACACTTGGTGTCACAAACTGGAAAGAAACGGTCAAAGAGAGATAATTGGAAGCGACGAGTAAATGCTGAAGAAGAAGAAAAAGAAGAAGAAGAAGAAGAAGAAGAAGAAGAAGAAGAAGAAGAAGAAGAAGAAGAAGAAGAAGAAGAAGAAGAAGAAGAAGAAGAAGAAGAAGAAGAAGAAGAAGAAGAAGAAGATGAAGAAGAAGAAGAAGGTGAAGAAGAAGAAAAAAAAGAAGAAGAAGATGATGAAGAAGAAGAAGAAAAAAAAGAAGAAGATGAAGAAGAAAAAGAAAAAAAAAGAAGAAGAAATAGGAGAAGAAGAAGAAAACGAAAAAAGAAGAAGAAGAAGAAAAAGAAGAAGAAGAAAAAGAAGAGAGCATTTGTACTGACAGTAAATTGGATAAGACTAGGGGAAACAATTGTCGTTTTCTGGACAGTAAAACAGTACAATACCTGTTGGGATCCTTCTGACACTTCACAGGAACTGATGTTAAGGTCATGACAGAAGGTCCAAGTTGGAGGCGAGGCCGGTGTGTCGGCACCATCATTCTGTTTCCATATATTTGCATATGCCAGAGACATGACTATCTGGGGCCGGATACAAGCAAAAGTGACAGTAATTTGTTAACGTTTGGTGTAATAAACAAAACAAATAAAAAGGAAAGGACCCTTTTCCGTTTGCTAACATAGGATACATTAGATTTTGAACATTAAAAAAATTGTTTGCCGATACAGCGAAAGAGCTGTGGTGTAGCGGCAAGACTCTCGCCTGCCGATCGGAAGATCGTGGGTTCGAATCCGAACAGCGCCTGACATTTTATTTTCAACAATGACATTGGCTCCCATGTGGATCCAGTGTTGAGTGAGTGAGTCGCAGATGAAGTCCTAGGAAGTACGGGGGACTGATGTGATGTTGATCACTTCAGCCAACGAAGTCTTAAATATGCAGTTGTAGCACCATATTTTTAATACGCCTAAAGGCGTGAAATAGGTGCCTTTTATGCTTTGAACACATTGATAACATTCTCAGAATACCCATGGACAAAGAAGAGAAGAAATACTGAACATCAAGAACATCAAAGAAGACAGGCTCAAAAACGGCATCTTGTCTCAGAAGCAGCAATATTTTGGTCATCTAAAGCGCCACGGCTGGTTGGTGAAAATAATAGCAGAAGCCATGATACCAGGAAGGAGGGGAAGCGGCCGACCAACACGAAGAGGGGCACAGGATCTGAGGGACTCCTTGAATATGAAAGTACACAAGACGGGAGAGTTGACAGACCTAGTTTCTTTCAGTCGGACCGCGACGTTCTTCAAAAAGGACCTGCTACATGTCGATGATGATATTGTTAACTCTTTGAGTCCCAGGGGGTTTAACATCAGAGGCCAAAATGGTAGTCAAGGGAGACGTAAAATAGGCGCATCTTGCGTTCATTGGGCCTCTAGATTGGAATCTATGAACGAACGATACGTTCCTTGTGACTCAAAGAGTTAACAATGCCGGGTTTTTGCAGTGCCCACCCCTCTTGCCTGCCTGCCTACCTACCACGTTGTCAGGAGTTCGAATTCTCTCTGATGTTGGAAACCCCACACGGCTGCGCATACAGTGGTCAAAATGGACGCTAGGCAGGGGCACTGTTCGGAGCTGAGGCAATTTGTTTGCTTCTGCCGGACGGTGGCCGATGCATTTTTGCTCCATTTGTAGACTGGATATAGTTTCGTCGCCCAACTTCTGAGCTGAATGCATAGCGTGACACTGTGAGCTGCGGATTTCATTTGGAATGTTTTTTCAACTGTGACAAACGTGGTGGGGTGAATTGTAGATTCAGAAAATGCCGCTATGTCTGTCGTGCAATGTTAATGGTGGCCGTATGTGATTAAAATTGATCGCGATGGCAACTGCTGATCTGTTGGTTACTTCTGCTACCATCACCGATGAACTGCATTTCTAATGTCGGACTGTTTGTGTTAGCACTTCCAATGGCTGCCGTATGCTTTAATGCGAGTGTATGCCTAATATCCTGGGACAGCAGTGTGAATCTTTCCACAAGGGACTGTGCTAAACATTCTGTGTGTTTTTCGTTGGCACAGGAGCGGAGCAAAGATGGGGTGACCGGTTTGCTATGAAGCTTAAAATAAGACTAATAATACTACTACTACTACTACTACTACTACTACTACTACTACTACTACTACTACTACTACTACTACTACTACTACTACTACTACTACTACTACTACTACTACTACTACTACTACTACTACTACTACTACTACTATTACTACTACTACTACTACTACCGCATACAGTGGATACACCACACAGTCCGCTGTTCGAAGTATTGAAACATCCAGCATACAGCCCTGACTTCGCACCATCAGACTTTCATTTGTTTGGTCAATGATAGAACATCTGGAGGGTCAGAGATGTGCCTGAAGAGAAGGCCCTGGTAGCAACTGCCACAGAGAGCCACGCTCAAGAAACATAATTAACACAGAGCAAGGGGAAGACCACACAAGTCATGGAGGGGCAGCATCAGCAACAATTAACAGAAATGAACACCAGCGTGTTCAATGCATTGGAAAAAGCGCAGAAACGAACCTTACATCTCTCTCCAACACCTCGCTGAGGTAAATGGTGGAAGAGAAGAAGAAGAAGAATGGAGTGATGTTAGTGGTGGAAACTTGTTTACTGGCCACACCCAAAAGCTTCCACCTGGCAAGCATCAACAATCTTGTGGATCGGTAGACTACATGTGTTGCAAGGCAGGGGAGTCGATACCCAGAAATAGGACCAGAACAACTTTGTTCCCAATGCTTGTTAATTAAAAAAAACTCAAAAAAAAAAAAAAAGAAAAAAACAACCGTATTAAAGCAATTGCCTTCCCTTAATGACTTCCCCCTAGTACTTGCAATTAAAACCACACAGAAAAGTAATATCAGAGTTATTAGAACTGGTCAACTCAAGCTCTCATGATCATCCAGAAAAAAAAAAAAAGAATGGAGCTGACGTAAGTGAGTAGTTCCCCTAAAGCATACATATACTATTTTAGCCTCCAATTACCTCACATTGGTGAGTTGCGTTGCTCAAAATCCTGTTGTAATCTGTTAATACAGCAGCTGTGTGAGTTCCTCTGCAAAAGAAAAGGTTTATTTGCCACTCAACATACTATTGTTATTATTGTTATTATTATTATTGTTATTATTATTATTATTATTATTATTATTATTGTTAGTGTTATTTTTGTTATTATTATCCCCATTGGGGCAAATTGAAAGAATGTCAGATGACAGAAAAGTACAAACTGTATACACTAGGGAGATTAATGGTTATAGACCACGAGGCAGACCCAAGAAGACAATGGAGAGATAATATTCAGACAGACCTGCAACAATTGGTGTCACCAACTGGAAAGAGAAGGCCAACCAGAGAGATGATTGGAGGCGGATGATATCTGCAGCAATGAACCTCAAGGGCTCGGAATGCTAGAGAAAAAGACAAAGATTATTATTATCATTAATGTTGATACAGGAAAACGAATGGATCAAAGATCTATCCTGTTCTGAAGTTACATTATCTGTTTCATGTATTTTAGCCCTTCAACTTTTAAAACTGCTTGAAAGAGGCTAATAAAAGTAGATCTCTATATACAAGTTTAAAAAAGAGACAAACACTGCTCTGGGGCCACAGAGAGACATGGGAGAACATCGTGACAACTGGAAAGAACAGTGGAAAAGGGGTAGAGGCAGACCAAGAGAGATGACGCTGGATGGACAATCATCAAGAGAGCTTTTCCTGGCAAAAAAGGATGGTTATCTGTGGAGACGTAAAGTGCTTACGCTAGTAGGCAGGACACATGATGATGATGATCTGTTGACAACTCAAATTCCAGAAAAACATATGCATTTATTAAGTCAATCACATTGACCAGGATAAGTTCGAATGAAATACTTTAAATGTTGATTGACGTTAACCAAATATATATTGTCCCACTATCTGCTCTGCCTTAAATTTGGAGATGAAAATCTACCCAAAGTATTTAAGGATCCTCGCCGGTGCTATAGAGCCTGTGCACTGTGCTAAGCTTATTCTGTCTCAGACTTGAGTTAGAAGAAGAACAGAGCACCACATGTAAATACCCACCCACATCAACACGCACAGCCAAGCAACACACACACACAAACATGCACAATACACACACACCCTTGTCTGTACGCACACAAGACAGATGACACCTACGTTATGGCGTCATGGTGCTGCATCACCGCCATGGCGTCTCCTGTGTCAAGAAAACACACTCCACATAGTTAATCAAACAGGCATACACTTGTGGACTTTATGCAATACCTCCCCCCCCCCCCACACCCCCCCCCCCGCAGCTTTATCTCCGCGGTAACCCACAGAGCACCACTGGACAAGGTGATGTATATGTTTAGACCCCCATCCCTTTTTTTCATTAGCGACGAGGGTCCAGGTAACGTTTTCCAGCTAAGAGACTGTAATTTGTCGTTCATTCATCGTTGGTGACCTTTCACACATATGTTTTTTGTGTGGCGGAGCGCCTGGATATGCCTTCCACCTTCCTAAACAGTAAGATAGAGATTACTCACTTATGTCTAGTAATCGCCTCACTCATGTAATCGCCTCTCTTACGTCTAATAATGGCCTCTCTTATGTCTAGTATTCTGGTAATCGCCTCAATTATGGCTAGTAATAGACTAAATTATGTCTAGTAATCGCCTTACTTGTGTCTAGTAATCACCTCAATTATGTCTAGTAATCGCCTCACTTATGTCTACTAATCGCCACACTTATGTCTAGTAATCGCCTCACTTATGTCTAGTAATCGCCCCACTTATGTCTAGTAATCGACTAACTTATGTCTAGTAATCGCCTCTTTTCTCTATTATCATCCTCCCTTATGTATATTTGATTAAGCGTGTTTATTTTTTTAAAGCCACGAACTCTCTTTTCATTTTCAGTCTGCCCAAAGCCTCTATATATTTGTAGACAAGAAACGTATTTTTCTGTATGTTTACGTTACCAAGATCACAAGTCGACCTTCTCAATGCTTGTTTGGTGTCCTCGTTTCTGCTTTGTTTAGTAAATAAGTAAGTAGGGAATGAAGTAAGTAGGTAAGTAGCTGAGTAATTAAGCAAGTGAGGCAGTGAATGAGTAAGTGAGTGTGAGTGAGCGTGAGTGAGTGTGAGGGAGTGAGTGTCAGTGAGTGTCAGTAAGTGTGAGTGAGTGTCAGTGAATGTCAGTGAGTGTCAGTGAGTGTCAGTAAGTAAGTGTGTGAGTGTGAGTGAGTGCGAGTGAGATAATTTAACTGAGTGAGTGAGTAAGTGAGTGAGTGTGAGCGAGTGTAAGTGAGTGCGAGTGACTAAGTATTAAGTAAGTGAGAGAGTGAGTGTGAGTGAGTTACTATGAATGAGTGAGTGAGTCAGCATGAGTTAGTGATTGAGAGAGTGATTGCGATTGAGTGAGTGAGAAAGCAAGTGGGTGTGTGTGAGGAGTAAGTGAGTGAGAGGGTAAGTGAGCGAGTGAGTGAGAGTGTGAATAAGTGTGAGTGAGAGAGTGAGTGGGTGTGTGTGAGTGAGTCAGAGTGAGTCTGAGTGAGTGTGTGATTAGGTCAGCAAGGGAGCGTGAGTGAATGAGTGTGAGTAAATATAAGTGAGTGAGTGAGTTAGTGAGTGTGACTGTGTGTAAGTAAGTGAATGTGCATGCGTGATTGAGTGTGAGTGAGTGAGTGTGAGTGAGTGAGTGTGCGTGGGTGAGTGAGAGAGTGTGTGAGTGTGAGTGAATCAATGTGTAAATGAATAAATAGTTGGGTCTAGTCGTCATATGACGGCTGCTCCTGCGACATGCAATGAAGTGGTGTTCATTTCTGTTAGGCTGCTTCTGATGATGTCGCTCCATATCTTGGGTGGTCTTCCCCTTGCTCTGTGTTCATCACATTTATTCAGCGTGGCTCTCTGTGGCAGCTGGTAGCAGAGCATTTTCGTTAGGTGGCTAAACCATCTAATTTTTTCTTCTTCTTTAATCAATCGTATGCCTGGTTTCAGCCCTAGCCTTCTCCTAATTTCTTCATTCCTGATTTTATGTCTTCTTGGGGAAGGGGGGGGGGGGAACAGGGGGTTTACTTACGTAGTTGATTCACGTGACCAAACATGTCATCCAATGCAGTAAAAATGGACAGTTGCTTGCAGCTCTGAAAAAAAGTAACATAGTTTGTACTTGGCTTACAGTGTTAGTAAGAATAATATGCAGTCATGAGCACTACGTACAATATATGCCAATAATATATACAGCACACTATGTAAATATATATAAATGTGTACTATAAAATAGAAAAATCGATATGCCGGTCTGTCTGTCACAAGAACTCCTTTCAAACGGTGAATAGTAGCAATGTAATATTTGCATATGTCATTCTGGACGCCATTTTTAGGTCAGCAGTGGCATTTCAGTTTGTAATATTATAAATGCAATTTTCTGTTCTACGTGTATTAAAATCAATAACGCGCAGGGGAAATCACTCTCAGTCACAGGCTTCGATTTGATTGATGAGTGCTTTTCACATAGAAAGCTCTGTATGGGATGTTCAGGGTTGGCGGATCTTTTAACACTAATCCTCATCGCCGATGAAAAACAACAGACTAAACATATTGTGTATAGCCAAGTGCTGAAATAAGTTTTCATAGCATTGGTTCCAGGGCCCTAGTGTGAGGGAAACACAAATAATACGACCCCCCCCCCTCCAATACGACCCACCCCCCATTTTCCCCCCCAAAAAAGCCGACTGATTAAGGGTGTTTGTTAAAGTAGAAGTGCCCCACTGTCCCCCCCCCCACCCCGGGCCCCAACCATGTCCTAAAAGCCGACACTGATAAAGGGTGTTTCTTTCAAAGTCGGAACGCATCTGCCTGAGAATGCATTTGCCTGAGAGTGCATCTTACCCCGGGGCTTTTACTAGTTGTATGACCAACACAGCAACTCTAAGAGTCACATCCTGGATGGCAGTGCCTCTGAGCAAACCCAGTTACCCCCTTCAATCTCCTTAAAAATAAAACTAATGCAGCCATGACAGCTTCCCCTAGTAGTGTATCCTAGAGTCTTGCGCGAGTCAGGCATTTATTCATAAGGTCTAACAAAGCCTAAACCCAGCTGAACACTGATTACTGATTAAAGTATGTCAGTCACATGACGACTAGACTGAACCATTAATTCATTTACACATTGACTCACTCACACTTACACACTTACTCACTCACACTCACACACTCACTCACTCACCCTCGCACACTCACCCTCGCACACTCACCCACTCACACTCTCTCGAAAACTCACACTCACTCACGCACGCACATATACTCACTCACATACAGTAACACCCACTAACTCACTCACTCACTCACTTACATTCGCTCACACACACTAACTCTCTGGCTCACACTCATTCACACTCTCACTCGTAGCACGCCGGGCATACCAATGGGTTCTCCGTCTCCCACATCGAGATGTTTTAAGGTGAAAATGCTGACCCTTCCTATTGCACACTGATTATACACACGTCGTTTTCATCTTCTCATACGTCCCTCCTTGCCAGATCCACTGTTAATTCCTCGTTCACATATTGTCAAACATTCGTTCACATTTGGTCTCCAGTGATTCCTGCAATGTTCATGCAATAATGCTTGGTATCCACCCATGCCACATTTGTCCATTTTAAACCTTCCCCAGTACCGACTGAGAATCAGATACAATAATTTCTTTAGTAACTTTATTTTCTGCTATCCACATCAAAACTGCAGTGACTGCCTCCACCTCCATCCTATGCTTGAAGTTCAGGTTTAAAAAATCTCAAATTTGTTTTGCCAAAATCTTTCCCTTTATTCTAGCAGAAAATCTCCAGCCAGATCTTTTACCCCGATGAGCAGAACCATCAGTGTATACTACTGCATCATCTAGTCCAGCCTTTCCATCAATCAGTTGTTGTACTTCTAATTCTGCTATACCTTTACGCCACTCTCTACATTCTCTTCCTGACCTGATAAGACCTGTTGGAAACTGCTGTTGTGTGTGTTTGTGTCGACCCATTCCTGCCTCCTTTGTATTAGCTCGACTAAGACTGCCTTCTCGATGGTAACTTAGCAAAAGCCATCAATTACTTTTCTCTTTTCTTTTTTTCTGGCTTGCGCCAGTGACAGTCTATACTCTAACTCAGCGGTTCTCAAACTGGGTGCTGCGAGCGTATGCCAGGGGTACTGCGGCAATAATCAAGAATTTTTCACAATCTACCTGAGATCAGCGAAGACAGCAATCTAAAATAGAAAGACAATGATGGAAGCCAAGCTACAGAAGTAGTAGAAGAAACAGCAACAGAAGTAGCAGCAGAAACAGCGACAGAAGAAGCAGCAGAACAGCAACAGAAGTAGCAGCAGAAACAGCAACAGAAGTAGCAGCAGAAACAGCAACAGAAGTAGCAGCAGAAACAGCAACAGAAGTAGCAGCAGAAACGGCAACAGAAGTAGCAGCAGAAACAGCCACAGAAGTAGCAGCAGAAACAGCAACAGAAGTAGCAGCAGAAACAGCGACAGAAGAAGCAGCAGAAACAGCAACAGAAGTAGCAGCAGAAACAGCAACAGAAGCAGCAGCAGACACAGCAACAGAAGTAGCAGCAGAAACAGCAACAGAAGTAGCAGCAGAAACAGCAACAAAAGTAGCAGCAGAAACAGCAACAGAAGTAGCAGCAGAAACAGCAACAGGAGTAGCAGCAGAAACAGCAACAGAAGTAGCAGCAGAAACAGCAACAGAAGTAGCAGCAGAAACAGCGACAGAAGAAGCAGCAAAAACAGCAACAGAAGTAGCAGCAGAAACAGCAACAGAAGTAGCAGCAGAAACAGCAACAGAAGTAGCAGCAGAAACAGCAACAGAAGTAGCAGCAGAAACAGCAACAGAAGTAGCAGCAGAAACGGCAACAGAAGTAGCAGCTGAAACAGCAACAGAAGTAGCAGCAGAAACAGCAACTGAAGTAGCAGCATAAACAGCAACAGAGGCAGCAGCAGACACAGCAACAGAAGCAGCATTAAAAAAAAATAGTAGTAGCTGAATGTTAAATTAAGAATCGACATCACAGCACTCGGGACACCCTCATGAGCACTCCGTCCCCATCTTCAGCAGCAGCGAAGAGTTCTGATTCTGAGTGCCCCAAGAAACTGAATTTTATCAGAAGCTATAGAGCCGTAGTAGTAGATGAAGCTACCTAAACGTTAGGCCAGCCTGAGACTAAAATGAAAGATCAATGTCAGAAACAACGTTCAACATCGAATGAAATTAAAACATGTGAACTAGTAACAGTTACAACAGCCTGGTGAAACCTGGAATCCTGTGCAGGCATGGGTCAACCACCATTAGTGGATTGTTGAGTAAGAGAAGTAGTAGTTATTCAATCCTTTTCACAATTCCTGTATTATAATTGAGAAATACGAATTTCGTTGTTTTTTTTTACGAATTTCTTTTTTTTTTTTTTTTTTTTTTTAACTTTCAGATTAATGTTTGTGAGAAAAAAAAATTTCTTATTTAAAAAGGAAGGCTAAACGAGAAATACTTTGATGACCTGACCGCACGGACGGAGCCAGGCAGGACACTGACCTGATCGGCGATTCTAGTGATCATGTGAGATGACGAAACATATAACCGCCCCCACACCTTCTTTCTTTTTTTTTTCACGCTTACCAGCACGGCACGTGATGATGCTGAATGCATACATTACCTGTAGAATCTGACCAGCTCTTTTGATGTGCATCTTAAGACCGCCCCTGGTGGTGTAAAAACCGGTCCAGTAGGCGCCTGGTTCTATGCCATACGGGAGGAAGTCGTCAAATTTAACTGGAAACTTGACTTTCTGCTTGTTCACGTGGTAGGTATAACAAGATGGCGTAGAGTAGAGAAGGTTATATTTGACCGACGAGTTTTGTTGCTGCAATAATAATCAATTAAAACATGTAAAAAAAAATGAACGTGTGCAGTCTTCACGACTAAGTTTGGTTGTACTGAATTTTTTTTTCTAAAGCTTTGTTCGAATGTTTAATAATAATAAAAAATTAACACACGACTGTAGGTATCCAAGGTAGTTTAGGTGCAGATTTCTAATGAACATAGCAAATAGGCAGAAAGTGTTCCTGTTGTCTTTACAGTCACATAAAAGAATACTTTTCACATAATAATTCAGTGTTAACACTGTGTAACATTTCATTCATATAGAGTCGATACCGATGAGTTTTCAGGAATCTGAAGTGCGTTCAGAATGTAACAGCAATGTTATTCCCACAACAGCTCATCAAAGAATAATCTAGTTTATAGCTTCCTTGTTTACCACTAGAATGTCACAATAATTTCAGCACAAGGAAAGTCAACAAGGCGGAGCGGCTAGGTGCTCGCGTGCGGATCGGAAGGTCTTGGGCTCGCTCCCTGGCGGAGCCGGACTTTTTTCAAAAATGCCTTGACTTCCAGGTCCACCCAGCCTTGAGTTGGTACCGGGTGCAGTGCCAGGAAGTAAGGGCGGCCGGCGTGATGGTGACCACATCAACCTCTTGTGCCTATTTGTCTATAAAAAAAAAAAAAACGCTATTTACCCCATACGCCTGAGCGCGTGGAAAAGGGACCTTTACTTACTTTATTTTCTCAGCTTAAGTTTTCCAACATAAAACCCATTCTTGGAATATAAGGTAAGCCGTCTCTCAACTGTCATATCTATAGGTTTACTTTAGAGTAAAACTGAGTCTTACTCGATCTCTCAGAAATCTCCAGTCGCCAAATGTAACCGAATTTCTTCTTTATTCCCCTATACCAATAAGCTATAATCCATTTCAGACGTCGTACCCAATTTAAAAAATCTGTAGCTCTGTGACCGTTAGGTTAAGTTGTGGAAATCTGGCATGCAACCTATTAACTATTATGTTCTTGTAAAACGCTTTTTTTTTTTAACGCAAACAAACATAACTTTTAAAAACATCAAATTGTTTGCATTTCATGGGCGGTTCACTCTGGAGTTTTCATTTCCATCATTATCTTCCGTGAGTTAGATAAACACAATTTTCCTTTGTGTGCGGGAAAGGCTATGCAAATAATCACTACGCATCGTAATGTAAACTGTAAACTCATTTCCAGACAAAATCACTACGCGTCGTAATGTAAACTGTAAACTCATTTCCAGACAAAATCACTACGCGTCGTAATGTAAACTGTAAACTCATTTCCAGACAAAATCACTACGCGTCGTAATGTAAACTGTAAACTCATTTCCAGACAAAATCACTACGCGTCGTAATGTAAACTGTAAACTCATTTCCAGACAAAATCACTACGCGTCGTAATGTAAACTGTAAACTCATTTCCAGACAAAATCACTAAGCGTCGTAATGTAAACTGTAAACTCATTTCCAGACAAAATCACTAAGCGTCGTAATGTAAACTGTAAACTCATTTCCAGACAAAATCACTACGCGTCGTAGCACTTGTGAACTCATTTCCTGACAATGTCAATTACATTATATTCTTTTTTCTTTAGGGGTACATATATTACTATTGAGAAAAAATATCAAAGCAATTCGCTACATCAGCAGCAATTAAATTGTAAATTATAATATCATAAGGATATTGGAAATCTAAGGCTACTTGCAAAGATTCACTTTACTGCATACATGAGTTTTCTATAGATGTGTTGGAGAGTGAGGGCACAACTTTTAAAACTACAGTTGAATTACATCCCATAATTACATTAATTTGACGTGCCAATTTGGTATGGGATTTTCTCGGTTATGTCCCCAGTAACGTTTTCACGAGATTGGGAAAGGGTTTGGGGCAGCTTACCGATCTTAGAAATTAGGTGTTTGCTCTGTCTGGAGATCCTGAAGGCACCTTAACCCAATGTCCCAGCTTTTCTACATCTATTGCTATCTTTAGTTAGTTAGTCTTTTCTCTTGGGCCTAGGGCGGCGCATAGGGCACAGGTCATAGCTCTCCGTGTCTGGCGGTTCGTTGCCACCTGTTTTAGGTCTTGGATATTTGTTAGGCCAATTGTTGAACTTTCCCTGATGAAGGTTCTATGCCGGGTCTCTCTTGGTTTTCCCAGATTTCTTTTCCCTTCCGGTGTCCATATGAGGCCTTGATAGGGAGTCTTGTCCTATTCATTGTGAGTGTGTAGTTCCAGTTACACTTTTCTTGAACAATTGGATACATTGTTTTGCTGGAACTCTATCTGCCCAGTGGAAATTTTATATTCTGAGACATTTGTTGCTATCTTTAGGGAATTTTAAATAATGTAAAGTAAAGCACTTTTGGGGGTGGGGGTGGGGGTTGTAAATTTTAAACTCCGAATTTTGCCCGGGCGACCCGTTAGGCTACTCTTTTCGATTTCCGACTAGCAAGGAATTTTTTACATGCACAACAATACACACGGGCATCCGAGCTCACTACCAAGAGATCAGGGGGAATTACTAGAAATCCAGTCCACGTGAAAAAAAATGCCAGCCCTTACCGGGGATTAAACCCAGAACCTCTAGCACTCGATGCAGACACCATGCCTCGAGACCATTCAGCCTACTTGAACTACTGCTAGGAAAACATAATATTTCTAGGTAAAAGCATTGAACCCAGAATAGCTTCTAGTAAAAGTAAAGATCCCTTTTCACGCCTTTAGGCGCATTGGGCATATGGGCAGAGCGTCCCATATTTTTACAGACCATCAGCACTCTGTGGGTAATGTGGTCAGCATTACACCGGCTGTCTTTACTTTCCCAGGACAGCCCATCCTGGTACCCATTTTAGGCTGGGTCGACCTGCGACGTCCCATACCACGATAAAAATCCGCGCAGCCTGCAGTGGGTTTCGATCGCGGTATGCTGGCTTACGAGTCGGACTCGCAACGCCTTAGCCACGGACGCCGCAGAATAGCTTCTTGGTAGGCAAAAACAAAATGACGATTCCAGAATTATTATCAGAATAAAATGAACACAAATGGCGGCAATGAACACACAGCCTTGAACCTACCATCTTGTTAACCATTTGCATGAGAGATTCCATGTTGTGGAACCAGACGGCGGCATCTTGATAACCAAAGTCACATCCCATGGGAATCAACAAATGATTGGTCTTGTAGCCTTTCATCTGAAATGAATCCAAACACCACATGTATAGTCATAATATTACAAGGAAGCAGACATGCAAAATATCTCCAGCTTGAGTTCGAGGCTTTTTTCTTTTTTGTTTTTGCTTTATCTTCTGCCTCTTCCCTTCCACCCAGTCAACTCATCGAAATGTTAGTGAGAGATGTAAAGAAACTTTCGCCAAGAGAAACACCGATTTTAGCAGAACTTTCAAGTGGTTGAGACAAAAGACAATGAAGTTCATATACTGCAAATATAGATAGTCTAGTTTGGGCAAACGACAGAAAAAGAAGAAGAAAAAGAAGAAAAAGAACAGGAACAAGAACAAGAATAAGAACAAGAACAACAAGGAGAAAATGGAGGATAAGAAAGGGGGGGGGGGATATGAAGCAGGGGAGAAGAAGAGAAAGAAAATTTTCTTTAGTTGTTTCTTTTATGTTGCACAATTGCATCTTTGTTTCTTGTTGCTGTGCTCCCATATGTTGCATGGCCTTTTCGTTGCTCTGTATTAGTTTCCTTCAACATTGCTCTCTGTGATAGGCACATAAGGCATTCTCGTCAGATGGCCCTACCATCCTTTATGTTGCTCTTCTTCTTCTTCTTCTTTCGTTCGCTTGAAATAGATTATCTATATCTGTAGTGTTGTCTGAATTATGAACTTGAATGTTTTCTGTAATTCACTCAGCGACCCGTAAAGTTCGGCTTGCTTGCATCGCTGTTTTTCTTGACCAAAGGTTTTGCCTTGATATATTGTATTTGGGACAGACTTGCAGAACATGATCTGTTGCTCTTTAATAAATTGTGGTTTCAGTGACAGTCTTCTGATGTTTTTTAATGGTTTTAATTGTATCTTTTCCTGTTACCACAGCAGCGCTTCCAAGGCAGCTCATCTCTAACGTTTTCATTTTGTTTTTCTAGTAAGTTCCCAAGTTTCACACGTTAGCACTGAGTTGTTCGAAAAAGCTTTTTTTTTGACTCGCCTTGGTAGACAAAACTATTCTGTGTGTCCAAAGTGGCGTTACTACATATATTTAATGTTCATATTATATACAGGGAGCCACCCTGGTGTAGCGGTTAGGCTCTCGCCTGCGAATCCGACAGTCGTGGGTTCATGCCCAGACGAAGCAGGGCGTTTTTGTTTTCCTTATAAAATGACTTTGGTTTTAGATAGGTACAAAGGTTCAAAAAGGTCTAAATGCACTAAAGATTATCTCAGCGATGGACATGGAGCAGAGAATGCTGTTCACACTTTACCAGCACTTAATCATCTCAGTGATTGGTTCTGGATCAGGGTTACTCACTGTCTCGAAGAGTCAGCTAGAGAAACTGGAGCGCGTACAGAATGAAGCTATGCAGCTGATCCTGGGTTGTACAAGCAACACCCTGATTGTGTGCATGCGATACATCCTTGCATTACCGACTATTGCATAGGCTAAAGTTGATGCAGGCTGAGCCATACCTCGGAGTAGCTGAAGACAGGAAATACCCTCTGTATGAAGCTTTAGCCGCAGGCAAGGGTCAGAGGCTGAAAAGGGGAAAATTGTGGATGGCTCAAGCAGAAGACACAATAAGACAAGTATGCATGCATTGGACTGAGTGTGCAGAAAGTGGTCAGGGGTGCTATAGAGGTTGAAGTCCAACAGTTGATTCATGACAATTCACGCCCAGGTAATCTGATTATCTATACAGATGGCTCGGTGCTAAGAGGAAAGAGAAGCATCTGGGGTTCGTATTAAAAGCCAGTGGAAAATATTCAGTGCAAGACAGCCTAGCATATGACACCACAACATCTAGTATGAGAATGGAGGTGGAGGCGGTAACTGCAGCTCTCCAGGGGATAGAGAACAAGATGTATACACATGTCGTAATTGTAACAGACTCAGAAAACGATGAATACAGGGATGATTCGAGCAGAGTGGCAAGCTTCACTGGAAAGGTTACAGGCGGTAAGCATACTCTGGATCTTTTCTCCAGGCTATGCCGGTGTGGTGGATAATGAACAGCCAGCCATATTGGCTTGATCTGCACCATTAGGCAGTGAACTGATACATGACAAGGCAGATGTGGCCAAGGCCCTTTGGGAACAAGCAACGGAATAAGTAGAGAAAGAATATTATTATGGCCTGACCTGGAGAGAATGAGCCACCTGGGTGTAACCAGATGGTCTGGCCGGCTCACTACACTCAGAAGAAAGGCAAGACGAACATTTAACCAGATTATGACCGATACCATCACTCTACGCTGGCTGCTGAAGATGAGGACGGAGCATGCATGGGAACGCCCCGAGTGCTGTAATGTCAGTTCTTGACTCAACTCAACAGGTACAAGGTAAGTTTTTGGGAAGTAAAGTCGGTATGAATGATGATGACCAGTTCACCCGCCAGGTTGAAACACAGACAACGCCGTAACGCCATTTGGACCTGTTGTGTCAATGACATTACAATATTCCATTGTAATATTTTTGTTGACCCAGATTTACTTTCTGTGCTTGGACAAAGATACACGTGCGTTGACACGGGTATCTAAATACGTGCTTCGACAAAGATACACGTGCGTTGACACGGGTATCTAAATACGTGCTTGGACAAAGATACACATGCGTTGACACGGGTATCTAAATACGTGCTTGGACAAAGATACACATGCGTTGACACGGGTATCTAAATACGTGCTTGGACAAAGATACACGTGCGTTGACACGGGTATCTAAATACGTGCTTCGACAAAGATACACGTGCGTTGACACGGGTATCTAAATACGTGCTTGGACAAAGATACACGTGCGTTGACACGGGTATCTAAATACGTGCTTGGACAAAGATACACGTGCGTTGACACGGGTATCTAAATACGTGCTTGGACAAAGATACACGTGCGTTGACACGGGTATCTAAATACGTGCTTGGACAAAGATACACGTGCGTTCACACGGGTATCTAAATACGTGCTTGGACAAAGATACACGTGCGTTGACACGGGTATCTAAATACGTGCTTGGACAAAGATACACGTGCGTTGACACGGGTATCTAAATACGTGCTTGGACAAAGATACACGTGCGTTGACACGGGTATCTAAATACGTGCTTGGACAAAGATAACGTGCGTTGACACGGGTATCTAAATACGTGCTTCGACAAAGATACACGTGCGTTGACACGGGTATCTAAATACGTGCTTGGACAAAGATACACGTGAGTTGACACGGGTATCTAAATACGTGCTTGGACAAAAATACACGTGCGTTGACACGGGTATCTAAATACGTGCTTGAACAAAGATACACGTGCGTTGACACGGGTATCTAAATACGTGCTTCGACAAAGATCCACGTGCGTTGACACGGGTATCTAAATACGTGCTTGAACATGTGAATAAAAAAAAAAAAAAACAAGCTTGATAAGATACTGCTATGTGAACTGCATGCGTGTTAGTTGCGTATCCTTTACAGGACGTTGAAGAACCAACACCAGAAGTGGCTGTTGTGGTTTTTCTAGGCAAATTTACGTCCTGTAGTTTGTCAATGCCTACTGGACGGTCGGCTTCTCAATACCACTGTCGAAACCAACGCAAGGCCCGCAGCTGGGATCGAACCCGGCACCCTGGCATTACGAAGCGCTTGCGCTACGCCTTAGCCACAGACGCCGACACGTGAACTGCGGAGACGCATTATTGCCGACGCGTTGTACAAAAGATTGTGATTATGATGATGAAGGGAAACGATGTGAAGAATAAGAATAGCGATGACGTGAACCAACAAATCCAAGACTTACCCTTTGTTTTATAACTGTAATAAAGTCTGTCGCAGCCTTCTCTGCAACCTAAACAATAACATGTTACGACAGGCAGTGGTTGATACAACATATATTTGATATGTTACAGAAGATATATGTCTAATATGTGTGTCACGGACTGTATATGTCATGGCATAGACAGTATATGTCCTTTCGCAGACAGTGTATAAGGTAAAAAAGACAGTATATGTGGTGACGTAGACAATATATGACGGGATATAGAGAGCTTTCTCTGCAACCTAAACGATAACTTGTTACGACAGTGGTTGATGCCACATATATTTGATATGTTACAGAAGATATGTGTCTAAGATGTGTGTCACGGACAGTATATGTCATGTCATAGACAGTATATGTCATTTCGCAGACAGTATATATGGCAATAAAGACAGTATATGTGGTGACATAGAAAATATATGATTTGATATAGACAGTATATGTCATGTCGCAGACAGTATATATGGTAATAAAGACAGCACATGTGGTGACATAGACAATATATGATTCGATATAGACAGTATATGTCATGTCGCAGACAGCACACACCGTAATATAGAAAGTATATGTCGTGAAAAAAAACAACAGATTGTGTATTGCAATAAACGATGACATATCACAGACATATTATGTGAAGTCATGGACAGCATGTGTCATGTCAGAGGCAGAAGATGTAATGTTATAGACAGTATATGTTAGAGCCACTACTTGCTAAAGACAGTACTAGGCGTGGCACAGACAATATACGTTGCATTACAGGTAGTGAATATCGTGGGCATATATATAACGATACATAATATCGTGGAATATGTCACGTTACAGACAGTGACAACATGTCATATCAGCATAAATCATGTCACATATTTACTTCTCATAACATCATCATCATCATGTAGCAGATCCTTTGCAGAACGTCGCTCTTATCACAGTCTGCCTGAAAGAAACTCGGTCTCTCGCCAGTTCTCTTGCCTCATATACTTTCATACTCAAGGAGTCACTTATATCCTGTGCCCATCTTCGTGTTGGTCGGCCCCCGCCCCTCCTTCCTGGTAACATGCCTTCTGCTATAGTTTTTTCCAATCTGTTGTGGCGCTTGATATAACCAAAATATTTCAGCTTTCGAGAAAGAATGCTAATTATTAGCCAATCTACCTTGATGTTCAGATCTTTTAAGATGTCAATATTTCTCATCTTCTTTGTCAAAGATATTCTGAGAATCTTTATATAGCATTTCAGCTCAAAAGCCCCTATTCTCTTTCTCAAAGACTGAGAGATAGTCCACGACTCACATCCGTATGTAGCCATAGGGAAGATGCATGCTCTCAAAATTCTAATTTTGATCTCCTTGCTGGTGCTTAACCATAGACTTTTGAGGCTGTTCAATCTTTGCATTGCTATGGCCATCCTCCTTTTAATTTCTGTCGTACAGTCTCCATTGCTGTTTATTATAGAGCCTAGATATTCAAAGTTTGTGACATTTTCAATTTCTTCACAATTTTTTGTTATTTTTGGGTGACAGCCAGTTTTATCTGTGGACATTATTTTCGTTTTCATTAAATTCAAGTACAGATTTTGATCTTCACTGTGCTTTTGGACACAACAATATTACAATTTCGATTCCCTTTACGGTGTTCTCATAACACATACAGTATATTTTATGTTAATGACACTATATGTCATATTATAGACAGACCATTTCAAATGTCATAAGCAGAATATGTCATGTCGTAGAAGTATATATGATGTCATAGACAGATGTGGCAATGTTACAGACAGTATATTTATTATCAAATCCACACACACAAATAGAAACATACATACACACACATATTAATATACATAGACAAGGATCTAGAATTGAAAAACGCATACCAGGGGATCATTCCACTTGAAACCGCCTAATTCAAAATTAAAACTGGTAGGCGAATAATAGCCGTCGTATATTGCATGTGTGAACAGATGAGATTTTACCTCTGAAAGAAATTAAACAAGTTAAAAAAAAATGTTCACCAAAGCAACTGTTTCGTGTTCCCTTTTTTATATGAAAGTCATAATATGTCACTTCAAAGAAAGTATTTGTCGTGTTATGAACAGTACATGTAGTGTCAAAGACAGAATAATAAATTCAGTACAGGTTATGCTGTAGACAGTATAAGTTATGTTATAGACAGTATATGTTATGTTATAGACAGTATATGTTATGTTATAGACAGTATAAGTTATGTTATAGACAGTATAAGTTGTTATAGACAGTATATGTTATGTTATAGACAGTATAAGTTATGTTATAGACAGTATAAGTTTTGTTATAGACAATATATGTTATGTTATAGACAGTATAAGTTATGTTACAGACAGTATAAGTTATGTTATAGACAGTATAAGCTATTTATAGACAGCATAAGTTATGTTGTAGACAGTATGAGTAAGGTTAGAGAGTATAGCTTATGCAATAGTCAGTTGAGTTAGTCTATAGAAAGTATAGGTTATGCTATAGACAGTATAAGTTATGCTATAGACAGTATGTTATGCTATAGACAGTATAAGTTATGCTATAGACAGTATAAGTGAGGTTGTAGACAGTATGGGTTAGGCTATAGACAGTATGAGTTAGGCTATAGACAGTATGAGTTAGGCTATAGACAGTATGAGTTAGGCTATAGACAGTATGAGTTAGGCTATAGACAGTATGAGTTAGGCTATAGACAGTATGAGTTATGCTATAGACAGTATGAGTTATGCTATATAGACAGTATAAGTGAGGTTATGGACAGTATAAGTCATATTATAGACAGTATCTATGGCATTATATAAATTAAATGTTGTGTCATAGACAGAATCAGTTATGCAATAGACAGTATGAACTATGCTATATACAATATAAGCTTTCCAATAGATAGTATAAGTTATGTCACAGAGAGTATAAGTAATGTTAAAGACATAAAACGTTTTGTAATAGAGAGTGAAGATTATGCCACAGACAGTATATGCTATGCAATGGACAGCAAAAATTATGTTATAAACAGTAAAAGTTATGCATGCATGGATGGATGGATGGATGGATGTATGTATGTATGGATGCATGGATGGATGGATGGATGGATGGATGGATGGATGGATGGATGGATGGATGGATGGATGGATGGATGGATGGATGGATGGATGGAGCGATGCATGGATGCATGGATGTATGTATGTATGTATGTATGGATGGATGGATGGATGGATGGATGGATGGATGGATTGGATGGATTGGATGGATTGGATGGATTGGATGGATTGGATGGATTGGATGGATGGATTGGATTGGATGGGATGGATTGGATTGGATGGGATGGATTGGATGGATGGATGGATGGATGGATGGATGGATGGATGGATGGATGGATGGATGGATGGATGGATGGATGTATGTATGTATGTATGTATGTATGTATGTATGTATGTATGTATGTATGTATGTATGTATGTATGTATGTATGTATGTATGTATGTATGTATGTATGTATGTATGTATGTATGTATGTATGTATGTATGTATGTATGTATGTATGTATGTATGTGTGTGTGTATGTATGTATGTATGTATGTATGTATGTATGTATGTATGTATGTATGTATGTATGTATGTATGTATGTATGTATGTATGTATATATGTATGTATGTATGCGTGCGTAAGTGAATGCAAAAAAAAAAGAAAAAAAAATTAACGTCTGTTCAGTGGAGTGTTACGGATCAACGCATGGTGCGTTTGTAGGCACATACACTGTCTGCGGTGAACACTTACTCAAGTTTTTAGGGCTGGTCATCCAGACTAGCTCTAGGCTCTTCTCTGCCGTTCTCACCTGGAAGTCGTGGAAGTCCATGCGCCCAATGAAAAGCGAGTCGAAACCCATCTGAGAGATTGGTAGAAGGACACACAATTATACTCAAGCATATGTACGCTTTTCAGACAGGCACATACGCACAAATACACACGCATACGTTTAAAGAGAGATTGTTTTTTTTCTTCTCTCCATTTAAACAGATATAGTTTTTTTTCCTCTCTCTCTCTCTCTCTCTCTCTCTCTCTCTCTCTCTCTCTTTCTCTCTCTCTCTCTCCAATATAGATACATAAACACATACATATACACAAGCATATTATTTTGACCACTGCATGCGTGTTTGTTTGGAGTCCCCTTGGCGAAGCGGCTTAAGGCTCGCTGCGGATCGGAAGGTTGTGGGTTCGCTCCCTGGAAGGACCGGACTGTTTTAAAAAAAAATGACCTTGGCTCCCACGTCGACCCAGCCTTGAGTGGGTACCGGAAGCAGTCCCATAAAGTAAAGGCGGCAGGCGTGATGCTGACTACATCACCCATCTTGTCCCGATTGGTCTAAAAAAATATAGGTCTAGCCCTACATGCCCTATAAGCCTAAAGCCGTGAAAAAAGGGTCCTTTACTTTTACTTACTGTTTACTATGTGTGTGGTTGGAAAGAATTATGAACAGAGAGACAGAGTAAGGCAAGGCGAGAAGATACTTAACCCTTTTGTGTGTGGCATGGAAGGGTGTCCGCAGATGAAATTGTTTTAGTTGTTCTTGGAATATCAGTTCCAAACAGAAATACTGGTTTGTCATGAGAGGTAAGTATGGTAAGGTTATGGAAAGTTTTAATTTCTTTTGAACCGCAACATATAACATCACACTCCACAACATCCAGCTTAAGAATAGAGGTGGAGACAGTCACTGCAGCTTTTCACGGGTTAGAGAACACGACACACACACACACACATCGTGATTGTAACTGACTCAGAAAGCATGCTGAGGAAGGTCAGGACTGGCATGCTTCGTACAGAGTGGCATGCCTCGCTGCGGGGGAGGGGTATTGTCTGGATTTTGTCACCGGGACACCGGTGTGTTGGGAAATAAACAGAGGATAGACTGTCTAGCTTTGCACAACTTGGTGGAATACTGATGAATGATAAGGCAGACGTGGTTAGTGCCTTGTGGGAGAGTGCGTCCAGATGGATCACCACATTTTGGTAAGAATGAAGAAGCGGGGAGTAACGACAGGTTCTGGCAGATGCTCGAGGCTTAGAGGAAAGGCAAGACGGACTTTTAACCAGAATGCTACTATCACCATTAGTATCATAACTTTTCACTTGCTTGCTAGGATGGGGACAGAGCGCTTATGGGAATGCCCCGAGTGCTGTGATGTCGATTCTTGAATCATCTCATCTCATATTACGTCACACATTGTCTTACTGTACCATCATGTTACACATGTCTTGCAATCTATTCCTCCGAGCCGTTCTGATCTGTGCAGTTGTTTCCATATCATGGATAGAATTCAGTCGAGACCTTTTGGCCTCTCACATCAATGTTCATTTTAGGTTGTCTTTTGGACGTTTCTTGCTTCCGTAATCCTTTTATTTCCAATTTCGGTGGCTGCTCGGTTCTCTGCTCACTTCTTCTCACTATGTGACCAATACAACGCAATATCCTCTGTCCTGTAACTGTTGTTGCAAGTGGGTGCTCAGACTTTTCTCTGATTTCTTCACCACTCTTGAATTTATCTTATTTTATGTTCATCATTTTCCCAGAGAGTCCCAGTGGCGTTGGCGGCGAGAGGCACCTCTGCGGATCTTAAAGTCGTGGGTTCGGATCTTGACAGAGCCGCTTTTGTGTGTGCAAAAATCTCCTTGATTCCCAAGTCGACCCAGCTTTGAGTGGGTACCAGGTGCAGCCCTGGAAAGTAAAGGCGGCCGGCGTAATGCTAACCACACCACCCATAAATTGCGATGGTCTAGCCCTATATGCCCAATACGCTAAAAGGCGAGTAAATGATTCCTTTACTTACTATTTTTCTCAGGCATTTGACATACTCTGAAAGTTAGTTGATTGTTCTTTACAGAACCTTGCAGAGCTAATTTCAGCATTTTTTTGGTTATTTGTGATTTCACTAGACAATTTTACGTTCAGCAGTTTGCCATTGCTTTCAAAACTGCTGGCTCTAGATACCACTATCAAAACCACAGCATATATCTTCTTCTTTTTCTTCTTCAGCATTCCGAGTCCTTGAGGTTCATTGCTGCAGATATCACCCGCCTCCATTCATTTTGCTGGATGGCCTTGTCTTTCCCCACGGTGGTCTACGACCATTCATCTCCCGTGTGTATACAGTTTTTACTTCTCTGTCATTAAACATTCTTTCAATATTCTCCAACCATTTCTGTCTTTCAGCTCTCATGATGCCAGCGATCAGTGGTGATTTAAACGGATCATGAATTCCGTTGTTGCTGCTCACTCTCCATTATCCGCTGTTTGCATCTTTGATGGGTGCAAAAATTTGTTGTAAGACTCGAAAACCTGCAATAAGAATTTATCTCTTTTAGTTGTGCTCTAAGTTTCAGAGCCATATAACGCGACTGGTCTTTTCAATGTTATCAGCCCGGCTCTCTAGCATAGTTGGCTAAACCGGATTACGCTGTGACCGGCTGACGAACTCTTTGTGGTCCGGGTTCACTCCCTGGGGTAGGCAGAAAAGCCACATTTTCTCCCAGATTTACGGTATTTACAATGGAACCAAGGCCGAAAGGTTGCGATATCCATAATACCGAGCCTAAGGGTTAACATCTTATGGCCTCTGGATACTAAAACAAAACAACATCAACGTTATCAGCACATTTACCTGGGCAAAAATGGACGCGTGCTCCCTGGAATGACCAAACTGGTCCACATGCCAGCCAGCCCTGGGCTGAGCACAGGAGCCCAGCTTGTCCCGGATGAAGTCAAAGCCCAGTGTCTGCTGGTCGATGATGTCATTGTACATGGTGACCGCGGCGTCGCTCATGACCCAGCCTCCGTTGATGATCTCCAGACGACCTGGTTCAATCCATGGAGAAAAAAAAAGAGTGTTGTCCACAATTTTGTGAACTTGCAACTAAACGGTTTAAAATGTTACCTTTTAAACGTAGGAGAACCTGGTTGAGTCAGTGGTTAAAAAAACAACAACAAGAGGGTTGCAAACACCTGTGTTAACGCGCTACATAAAGCTTACAATGTGAACTGCTTATAAATAGGACGACCTAGTTTAATCTATTGAAACGAGAGTTGCCAATTGCCAATTACTGCCCTAATTATACCAATTCTGCTGTGTAGACGGGGGGGGGGGAGGGGGGGGGGTCGTTGAACCTGGGGATTTACAGCTGGATGGCTAGTGCTGTCGCCACGACTGTGTAGGTGAGGATTTTATTTTGCCAGAAAAAAATCCCTAGCCTTACAGAGAATTCGAACCCGGGACTCCCGCTTAAAAGCCCAGCGTCCCGCCGCTTCGCAACTAGGGTTACAGAGAAATAAAAAAAACTTATGTTAACGTACAACTTGCGGCTTTAACTTGTAACTGTTTAAACTCAGGGTGAGCCCGGCTCTCTAGCGGAATTGGCTAAACCGGATTTCGCGGAGACCGGGTGACGTACTCCTTGTGGTCCGGGTTCAATCCAGGGGGTAGGCAGGAAAGCCACATTTTCTCCCAGATTTACGGTATTTACAATGGAATCAAGGCCGAAAGGTTGCGATATCCATAATACCGAGCCTAAGGGTTAACAACTCATGGCTTCTGGATACTAAAACAAACAAACAAACAAACTCAGGGTGACCTGATTTAGTTCGTAAAAACATTATATCTCCCAGTTAAATTTACATGAAACTTTCAACGATTAAAATTGTATGTTTAAAGACAGAAGGTTTCGATTACATTACACAGGACTTTTGGTTTATGGTTTGATCTCTTTTCGTATAGCGATAGATCTCCTTTGCCGAAACTGTCACACAAGGCACGAACTCCATTAACGACGACACTCAAAGATCTTAAAAAAATAAAAAACACAAAATGCCCTAATAAACAAAACACGTCTTCTTTACTTGAGTTTGTGTTTCAATTATTTATAGTTTTATCATCGTCAAGTGCTTGACAACGGCAAGCTCCATCCCAATTTTCAACGCTTGTAATGTTTATTTAGGTTAGGTTAGTTGCGTATCCTTTACAGGACGTTGCAGAACCAACCCCAGCAGCCCCTGGCTGTTGTGTGGTTTCTCTAGGAAAATTTACGTCCAGTAGTTTGCCATTGCTTCCTGGACGGTCGACTTTCTTAATACCACTGTTGAAACCAACGCAAGGGGCATGGCCCGCAGCTGGGATCGAACCCGGCATCCCGGCATTACGAAGCGTTCGCATCGACTTAGCCACAGAGCCGACTGACAATGGCAAACTTGATCATAATTTTCAACTCTTGTAATATTTATTTAGTTATGTAATTCGAGACGGTGTAGTACTGACCACATTATCCACTTAGTGTAAAAACTGGTTCTATGCCACATGTAATAACTGGTTCTATGCAACATGTAATAACAAGTTCTATGCAACATGTAATAACTAGTTCTATGCAACATGTAATAACTAGTTATATGCAACACGTAATAACTGGTTCTATGCAACATGTAATAACTAGTTATATGCAGCATGTAATAACTGGTTCTATGCAACGTGTAATAACTAGTTATATGCAACATGTAATACCTGGTTCTATGCAACATGTAATAACTAGTTATTTGCAAAATGTAATAACTAGTTCTATGCAACATGTAGTAACTAGTTATATGCAACATGTAATAACTGGTTATATGCAAAATTTAATAACTAGTATATGCAACATGTAATAACTGGTTCTATGCAACATGTAATAACTAGTTATATGCAACATATAATAACTGGTTCTATGCAACATGTAATAACTAGTTATATGCAACATGTAATAACTGGTTCTATGCAACATGTAATAACTAGTTCTATGCAACATGTAATAACTGGTTTTATGCAACATGTATTAACTAGTTATATGCAACATGTAATAACTGGCTCTATGCAACATGTAATAACTAGTTCTATGCAACATGTATTAACTAGTTCTATGCAACATGTAATAACTGGTTCTATGCAACATGTAGTAACTGGTTCTATGCAACAAGTAATAACTGGTTCTATGCAACATGTAATAACTGGTTCTATGCAACATAAAATAACTAGTTATATGCAACATGTAATAACTGGTTCTATGCAACATGTAATAACAAGTTCTATGCAACATGTAATAACTGGTTCTATGCAACATGTAATAACAAGTTCTATGCAACATGTAATAACTGGTTCTTTGCAACATGTAATAACTAGTTATAGGCAACATGTAATAACTAGTTCTATGCAACATGAAAAAACTAGTTCTATGCAACATGTAATAACTAGTTCTATGCAACATAAATAACTTGTTCTTTGCAACATGTAATAACTAGTTATATGCAACATGTAATAACTAGTTCTATGCAACATGTAATAACTAGTTCTATGCAACATGTAATAACTGGATCTTTGCAACATGTAATAACTAGTTATATGCAACATGTAATAACTAGTTATATGCAACATGTAATAACTAGTTCTATGCATCATGTAATAACTGGATCTTTGCAACATGTAATAACAAGTTCTATGCAACATGTAATAACTAGTTCTATGCAACATGTGATATCTAGTTATATGCAACATGTAATAACTGGTTCGATGCAACATGTAATAACTGGTTCTATGCAACATGTAATAACAAGTTCTATGCAACATGTAATAACAAGTTCTATGCAACATGTAATAACAAGTTCTATGCAACATGTAGTAACTGGTTCTATGCAACATGTAATAACTGGTTCTATGCAACATGCAATAACTGGTTCTATGCAACATGTAATAGCTGGTTCTTTGCAACATGTAATAACTAGTTATAGGCAACATGTAATAACTAGTTCTATGCAACATGAAATAACTAGTTCTATGCAACATGTAATAACTAGTTATATGCAACATGTAATAACTGGTTATATGCAACATGTAATAACTGGTTCTATGCAACGTGTAATAACTGGTTCTATGCAACATGGGATATCTAGTTCTATGCAACATGTAATAACTGGTTCTATGCAACATGTAATAACTGGTTCTATGCAACATGTAATAACTAGTTCTATGCAACATTTAGTAACTGGTATATATATATATATATATACAAACACACACACACACAGCGGAGTCTGGATAAGTAGAAGTCGCAGGAACCAAAGAAAATGCTTCCACTTATCAGGATTTCTACTTATCCAGACAGCACACACAATAGAGAAAGTTGCCGGGACTAAGCTGGTCATGTCGACTTAACAGAAATTCGATTTATCCGAGTTCGACTTCAGTGGACTTGAATGTACCATTTTCACATCAAACTGTACATTTTTCAAATTAAACTGGACTCGACCCAGCCTAAAATGGGTACAAGGATGAATATCCTGGGAAAGTAAAGACGTCCTGTGTAATGCTGACCACATTACCCACCTAGTGCCGATAGGTCTGTAAAAATATGGGTGCTCTTCGCATATTCCCGATGAGCCTAAGGCGTGAAACGGGATCTTTACTTATATATATATATATATATATATATATATATATATATATATATATATATATATATATATATATATATATATATATATATATATATATATATATATTTATATATGAGGAAGATAACGTTCTTGTTGTGGATATTGATATTTAACGTTTTTTGGGGGGATCGTTTTAAAGATAATTAAACTGAAGATGTCATTTATGGATAATGATACTGATAATGATGATAAGTTCTCATATGACCCACTCACGTTCTTTAATCAGCTGCAGAATGTCTGCCCGCTGTTTATCGTCGATCTCATTCCAGTAACGAGACAGATACTTCATCTCCACCAAGATGAACCTCCTCGACTTGTCCTTTAACAGTTCCGTGATGGTTGAGTTGAACGTGCACCGGACACAACCAGAGGCCCACACATTTGGAACCACTGCGGAGATAATCATGTCAGTAATTTTTGGAGCCCTACTGTACAGAAGAGAGCAAAGACTTTTGCTATAAACTTTTGACCCATCCATATACAGCAGTCTACCAATCATCAGTAAAAGTGATCTCTCGTCGACAAATTTCGACCCACAAGCTCCTAGACATTTTCAGAAAGTGGGCCCACCTGAGTTCATGATGCTCAGGCTTGATCTGCTCCAGCTGCACGTATTACCGGATGTTCTCGGACACGGACAAGACAAAATTAATGACTGTGCAAAAGGTACTTTGAGATCCGACGTGTATTGTCACCAGTACGGACAGCTGATAAGAAATTGTCCGCCTGTGTCCGCACGAAACTCCGTAGCTACAGAGACGTTCCTCCATTTATCCCAGATTGTTAACTCTGGTAACCATTTCCTAGAGGCTGGTTGAACTCCGGGAACCGCCTGGTTTCGAACACTGACCGTGAGCAGCAGCGAGTTGCAACTGGATTGGAAATCGAGTCTCCTATCAACTGTCCTATCGCAGCCCCTATAAGAAGAAAAAGAAGAAGAAGAAGAAGAAAAAGAAGAAGAAGAAAAAGAAGAAGAAGAAGAAGAAGAAGAAGAAGAAGAAGAAGTAGAAGAAGAAGAAGATGAAGAAGAAAAAGAAGATGATGATGATGATGATGATAATGAAAGAGAAGAATAAAAAAAAAAAAGAAGAAGAAGAAGAAGAAGAAGAAGAAGAAGAAGAAGAAGAAGAAGAAGAAGAAGAAGAAGAAGAAGAAGAAGAAGAAGAAGAAGAAGAAGAAGAAGAAGAAGAAGAAGAAGAAGAAGAAGAAGAAGAAGAAGAAGAAGAAGAAGAAGAAGAAGAAGAAGAAGAAGAAGAAGAAGAAGAAGAAGAAGAAGATGATGATGATGATGTTGATGATGATGATGATGAACAAAAAGAATAATAAAAAGAAAAAGAACAAGAACAAGAAAAAGAAGAAGAAAAAGAAGAAGAAGAAGAAGATGATGATGATGATGATGATGATGAAGAAAAAGAAGAATAAAAAGAAAAAGAAGAAGAAGAAGAAGAAGAAGAAGAAGAAGAAGAAGAAGAAGAAGAAGAAGAAGAAGAAGAAGAAGAAGAAGAAGAAGAAGAAGAAGAAGAAGAAGAAGAAGAAGAAGAAGAAGAAAAAGAAGAAGAAGAAGAAGAAGAAAAAAAAAAGAAGAAGAAGAAGAAGAAGAAGAAGAAGAAGAAGAAGAAGAAGAAGAAGAAGAAGAAGAAGAAGAAGAAGAAGAAGAAGAAGAAGAAGAAGAAGAAGAAGAAGAAGAAGAAGAAGAAGAAGAAGACGAAGAAGAAGAAGAAATTGATTGCTTGTCTACACCTAGACTTAGTCTTGTTCAAGAAATTGAATTGTTCACATTGAATATGACAAATCTAGCTCACTTGTGTGCAGACTGTTGGTTTCTCCCCTGTCAGACAGAAGCTTACTGAATTCCGAGGAGAATTAAAATTTACATACGTCTTATACTACATGCCTAGATTTATGAATTAAGACCACACTTCACTAGCTATGCCTAGAGATGCTCCGCTATACAAAGAAGAGTGTAGATAAATATCGTTTGAACCGCACACTGTTTGTAAACACTTCATTGTCCTACTGTGCCATTATATGTCATAAAGGGCTCGCTGTATTGTTTCCATTCTGTTTACATTCTGTGCAATCACGTTGTTGTCATGAATGAAATCCAGCCCGCCACCTTTATCATCTTTTTATCAGAGTTCGCTTTTCAGTTTCTCCTTGACCTCCTCGCTTGCTCAATCCGTCAGTTTCTCCTTGACATCCTCGCTTGCTCAATCCGTCAGTTTCTCTTGGACCTCCTCGCTTGCCCTTCAATTTCTCTGTTTCTCTTTAACCTCCTCGCTTGCTCAATCCGTAAGTTTCTCTTGGACCTCCTCGCTTGCCCTTCAATTTCTCTGTTTCTCTTTGACCTCCTCGCTTGCTCAATCCGTCAGTTTCTCTTGGACCTCCTCGCTTGCCCTTCAATTTCTCTGTTTCTCTTTGACCCCCTCGCTTGCTCAATCCGTCAGTTTCTCTTGGACCTCCTCCCTTGCTTAGTCCCTTAGTTGTTCTTGGACCTCCTCACCTGCTCTTCAATTTCTCTGTTTCTCTTTGACCTCCTTACTTGCTCAATCCCTCAGTTTCCCATTTAATGGACAGATCACTTAATCAGACCCAAGACTGGATAATGAGACGGACACGACCTGGCCTGCCAGATAGTCATCAGGACATAAACAAGCACCAAACACAACCAATGAAATAGAAACACACAATGTTGCCATAATTATAACAGAATTTGACCTGGTTAAGGCTGGTTCCCTAGTCAGAAGTTGAAAATCTCTAATTCAAACCGAATGAACGAACGAACAGCTGCTTGGTAATTCTCTGATCATCTCTTCTCCGAATGTATCCAAAATAGCGCCTTGATCTGTACCTTAAAAGTGTTGATTTATTGGTTGCCCTAATGATTTTCGTATTTCTTCTACTCTTCTTCTTCTTTGTTCGCGGGCTGTAAGCTCTGGGGGAAAGTTCTGGTTGCTCGTCCATTTTGACTTTGGCTTCGTACCAGGGCCAGAGTTGTGCATAGACATCCGTTTTACTTGCTTATTTGTGTGCATTTAGTTGTCAGGCTGATGTACTCCGACTTTGAAAGAAGTCCCCAATTAGTTGACTTTTACGACATGCTTGTTGGGGAGGCAGTGAGTCTATTCTTGTTTTTCACCACAGTGGGGCCGCTGAGCCCACACGGGGATGCTTATTTCTAACATCTGAGTGGCACCACATACACAAGAATACCTACTTTCGCCAACGTAGTACTGCTCAACAGTCTTGACCCAGCCCACGTCAATGTGGCTGTGAGGGATGAGGTGCACGTTAATCTCTCCTTCCTTGACTTCGGGGCATCTCTGGGTTGTAGAGATTGTTTTTGTGAGACCCGATTCAACGACATTTGTCTCACTTATTCAGTAGCACACATTCAAATATTTATCATTATCATAATATCATCACTATTATTATCATCACAATCATCCATTTCTTCTGTCGTTAAGTGCCCTGGGGAGGAACAGTCTGCGATCCTTTGTTTGATAGGCAGCAATGATGATTGTCAATCCATATAGATGTCAAATTACTAATAAATTACAGACATTCATTACCTGGTGCCTGCGCAGAATAGAGGGAATTAAATGGTATGATAAAATAACTAATGTAGAACTTTGCGAGAGAACTAAATAGTCTAAAGTGGACCAAGAGGTGAGGAAAACACGCTGACGTTGGACACACACTGAGAAAACAGGAGAACAGCATAACTAGAATGTCTTTGCATTGTAACCCACAGGGGCATAGGACTAAAGGAAGGCCAAAAAACACATGGAGAAGAGAGCTGGAGAATGAAGTTGGAAAGATGGGGAGGACATGGGGAGAGAGCTCCATGCAATGGCAAAGGATAGAACGACTTGGCGTGAGTTGGTCGAAGGGCTATGCTCCATTGGGCGATAGAAAGGCAGAATAGAAGAGAGATACAGATGTCAGCGTCTATGGCAAAGGCATTGCGAACGCATTTCATAATGCCGGGAGGCCTGGTTCAATCCCAACTGCCGGCCCTGCGCCTTGCGTTGGTTTCGACAGTGGTACCGAGAAGCCAACCGTCTGGAAAGCAATGGCAAACTACTGGACGTAAATTTGCCAGGAAAAACAGCCAAAAAAAATGCTGGGGTTGGTTCTGCAAAGTCCTGTAAAGGATACACAACTAACTATACATGGAGGAGCTTTATGTTGACTTCAGTCCATTTGCTTTTAGTGCGACCTCTTTGTTTCACTTTTTCCCATGAATAGCACCTGTGTTGGTAGTATAAAACTGTGGTTCTATCATACATAAGGTTCTAACACTATACTACGCTGGGGGTGTAGTGGCTATACGCTCGTCTGCTAGTCCGAAGAGACCTCATCACGTTTCCCGGCCCATCTACATACTGGCTGACCTTTTCTTTCATGCTTTCACAGACTGTTCTACGTTAGAGGGGTGTGACGTTGTCTTGGCTTCTATCTATCTATCTATCTATCTATCTATCTATCTATCTATCTATCTATCTATCTATCTATCTATCTATCTATCTATCTATCTATCTATCTATCTATCTATCTATCTATCTATCTATCTATCTATCTATCTATCTATCTATCTATCTATCTATCTATCTATCTATCTATCTATCTATCTATCTATCTATCTATCTATCTATCTATCTATCTATCTATCTATCTATCTATCTATCTATCTATCTATCTATCTATCTATCTATCTATCTATCTATCTATCTATCTAATCTATCTAATCTAATCTATCTATCTAATCTATCTATCTATCTAATCTATCTATCTAATCTATCTATCTATCTAATCTATCTATCTAATCTATCTATCTAATCTATCTATCTAATCTATCTATCTAATCTATCTATCTAATCTATCCTATCTATCTAATCTATCTATCTATCTATCTATCTATCTATCTATCGATCTATCTATCTATCTATCTATCTATCTATCTATCTATCTATCTATCTATCTATCTATCTATCTATCGATCTATCTATCTATCTATCTATCTATCTATCTATCTATCTATCTATCTATCTATCTATCTATCTATCTATCTATCTATCTATCTATCTATCTATCTATCTAATCTATTATCTTATCTAATCTATCTAATCTAATCTATCTAATCTAATCTATCTATCTATCTATCTATCTATCTATATCGATCTATCTATCTATCTATCTATCTATCTATCTATCTATCTATCTATCTATCTATCTATCTATCTATCTATCTATCTATCTATCTATCTATCTATCTATCTATCTATCTATCTATCTATCTATCTATCTATCTATCTATCTATCTATCTATCTATCTATCAATCTATCTATCAATCTATCTATCTAATCTATCTATCTAATCTATCTATCTAATCTATCTATCTAATCTATCTATCTAATCTATCTATCTTATCTATCTATCTATCTATCTATCTATCTATCTATCTATCTATCTATCTATCTATCTATCTATCTATCTATCTATCTATCTATCTATCTATCTATCTATCTATCTATCTATCTATCTATCTATCTATCTATCTATCTATCTATCTATCTATCTATCTATCTATCTATCTATCTATCTATCTATCTAAGATCTATCTATCTATCTATCTATCTATCTATCTATCTATCTATCTATCTATCTATCTATCTATCTATCTATCTATCTATCTATCTATCTATCTATCTCGTTCGTTCGTTCGTTCTATCTATCTATCTATCTATCTATCTATCTATCTATCTATCTATCTATCTATCTATCTATCTATCTATCTATCTGTCTGTCTATCTGTCTGTCTGTCTATCTGTCTGTCTGACTGTCTATCTGTCTGTCTGTCTGTCTGTCTGTCTGTCTGTCTGTCTGTCTGTCTGTCTGTCTGTCTGTCTGTCTGTCTGTCTGTCTGTCAGATGTGGAACTGGGACTGACACGGGAAATGAGGTCGGAAAACTCAATAAGTTCTTACTTGGTACGAGCAAGTGCCCTCCCAGTGTACGACAGACTCCAGCATTCTGTGTTCCTGGATGTTGTAGGTGTAGCTCGGTGTCTTCCTGGTTGCCCAGTAGTAGATGACCACCTGCAACACCGCAAGGCCCAATAGCCATTGCAGAGTTTTCCTTAGAGACACTCTCATTGCTGGCAGCTGATCGAGATCTTAGACTGCTCCACAATCTGTCTAGATGGATTTGTTGATTCTTGGCTGAGAACAGAAGAAGGGTTGAGGGGAAAAAAAGATAAATAAAGGAAATGTGACAGAGAAGAGAGATAGACAATAAGGTAAAGAACCTTTTTCTTCGCTTTCATGGGTATTAGGCAAATAGGGCTTGACCTTCTTCTTCTTCTTCTTTCGTTCGCTTGAAATAAGTTGTCTATATCAGCAGTTTTGTCTCGTATAAATTTCACTGTCGTTGTTAGTTCATTCAGTGGTCCATAGAGTTTACGTTCCACTGTTGTTCTTTCTGGCCAAAAGGTTTGCCTTAATGTGTCAAATTCGGTGCGGTCCTGGAGTACATGCTCTGCTGTCTGGGGCACATTTCCACAGGTACACATGGCTGATACACCTATCTTGAATTTTGTGTATATGTGGTTACGTAATCGGTCGTGCCCTGTTCTGAGGCGGAAGATAATGACTTGTTCTGCTCTCTCCATAATAAAATAGTCGTCTTGTGCTGGGGGCTGGTGGTTTCCTAATCGATTTAATGATTTTTTTCTTGTGGCGGTATATGACTGGTACATCCGGCTGCTCTTTTGTCGCACCTTCCCCTGCCAGTTGAAGGGCTAGACCTATATTTCTTAGACCTATTGGCACTCGGTGGGTGATGTGGTCAACATCACGCCAGCCGACTTTACTTCCTAGGACTGCACCTGATACCCATTCAAAGCTGGAAGCCAAGGTCATCTTTGAAGAAAGCCTGATCGGCTCCAACGACCTTCAGATCCGCAGGGGAGCATCCAGCCGCTTAACTACTGCGACACCCAGACATTAAATGGAGAGTTGAAGTAAAGGCTGAAATAGTTGGGGTATATAGAAAGATTGACAAGCATGGCACCCAGTGCATTATTCTTATAAAAGAGACTCTCGCTTCGGAGCATCAAACCTAGATAGGTGTTGATAATTGTTTGATGACAGATGGAAAGGAAGATATCTTCATGTTCTTTTGCTATATTCAGGCCCCCCGGCAAAAACCAGGGTGGGGCTTAAATAAATTGCATCCTACGAGGGGAAAGTGTTTAATAAAAACTAGCATTGGTGTCTGAATGTCTGTAGAGTCTGCAACTGACAACCTAAGGTGCACGATTTATGCCTAACAGTTGCTAATTTTTAAATATTCACGGTTGCTAATATACTGTTCATGGTTAGAACGCTGGGCTCTCAAGCGAAAGACCCAGGTTCGAATCCTCGGTAAGGCTGAGGAGTTGTTTTCTGTCGGGGGACAAATAAAACCCCTGCCTGCACAGTGATGGCGACAGTACAAGCCATGCAGCAGTCAATCCTCAGGATCAAGACCCACTGCCTACACCGCAAAAGTGGTGAAATAAAGGTTATTATACTGTTCATACGCTTGTAATAGTACCACTGTACCACTGTACCACTGTACCACTGTACCACTGTACCACTGTACCTCTGTACCACTGTACCACTGTACCACTGTACCACTGTACCACTGTATCGTTGAATTTAATTTAATCACACCTTCAAGCAATGCAAGCATTTAATTAGCATTCGTGTGTCCATCGAGCCGACGTCCCGACACTGGGCTGTCTTTGGACGGGGTATCTGGGGTTTTCTCCTGTTTGATTCTCATCATAGAGGTGTTAATCCTACGAACATCAATCCTGGAGGGGTACAGTTACCTAACATATGTCCCTACACGGAACACACCAACTTAAAGAGATCACGCCAGGTCCGTATAAGCAAGTGTACGTCAATAATTAAATCCCCACTTAATCTGCTGAGTGTCGCATGTAGACGTAAGTAAACATTTGAACTATATTCAATTTGTCAGTTCTGTGTACACAGGAGGTCCCAAAGAAGGCATGCATAGGGATTTTTTTTTTTCACGTTTACAGTTGAACTAGTATAAGTGTGGCATAGGCGATCCCAGCAGCGGATAATTTGGCAGCTGACCGCTTTCCGCTGGTCTCGACAATGCGTATCGTGAGTGAAATTCAGCCCTCCAGGACCGCATATCATCATCTGCCCTGCCAGCTGGCGTTGGCGCTCATGCGTCTCTACAGATCACGATTCCTGGTTGCCTTGAACACTTCTCTTGATGATATCCCTCCATGCCATCGT